TGTTCCACCTTGTTATGTCATGTGGTAATACAGGAAGCTCTCCACCATGTTTTTAAACTCCATACACCTTTACTAGAATCATTTGGATAAATTCAACCCTGGAATTTACAAATTGTACTGACCTAAAAGTAAGAGGTGGTGAGTGTACATAGCCTACATAATGCTACTAATTACAGACCGATGAAAAAGAAATTCATAAAAATAAAATGTCACACAAATTTTAAAGCTATTCTGGCTGAATATGATGCGTCTACAAGTTGTTTTTTTAGCATATTGATTTGTAAATATAATGTCTAAAAGGTTACGCAAGTTGTTTCCTTAAAAACTCTTCTTTGACCTGAAATGAACATAGATGTTTTGTTCTGTCATGCATTTGATCAACGATGGGAATGTTCACTTTTTTCACAGAGACATAAAATGCCTCACAGCTGTAAACCTCATCCTGCAGATTTTGCTTTTGACTCAAACTTGTCTCAAATTACACTGGATCCCTGCACACTTTGACTTAACTGAACTTCCTCTGAACTAACCCAGCATCAGTGGAATATTTATCTAAACAAAACGCTTATGGGCTCGTGGGTGTGATTTCTTAGAGGGACCAGTGGTCTCAAAACTTTCTTTAAGCAATAGTAGACGTATTCAAACAGTGGTTTCATCTGCTACAATCCTTAAAATAATAGAGAAGTCTGAATTTAAAGTTGTTCATAGGAATGTCATGATATTTTCTATAGGGGGCCACTTCCACTTCCTGTTTACATTGCACCGTTGGAGTATAAGCATAAGTAAAGAATAACAATTCTATATTCATATTCTTTGACTTTATGTAACAGTAAAAATAATACAATTTAAAGTGAAGTACATGACTGAGATCTTTTGCAGCTGTGTGTTATTCATAGAAAGACCGAACAGGAGTCAGTCAATGAATGCTTCTGTGCTTTCCAACTGCAGCGGGTCACAAGAACAAGCCGGTAGACGGTTTGTGCTCCTCTGAAGCCTGTATAAAGATGTATAGAGATTAGGGGTGGGCGATATATCGATATTTTAAATATATCGAGATAGTTTTTAAACTCGATATGAATTCAGACATATCGTATATATCGATATAATGCTTATATTCAATTCTGATTTCGCCGCTTCGCTTGTTTACCTTCTCTCACATCGCCCGCGCGCCCCCGCCTCCCTGATTTTGTTCGCTCGTGTCTCCTTCACTTCTCACTATCACCGTGAACGCCGAAAGTTGGTGCCAGTGAAAAGCTTCAAGCACCACGAACCTTTTCCACCATTTACAGACAAAACCATCAACAGCACATCCTCATATTCCACCGAGTGTCGTCCTTTAGCCCGAAAGAAGCAAAACGAGCTGAGCTGCAGGAGAAGTGCACTGTTTATGCAAATGAGCCATGCGCTTAAATTTCGTTTCTGTAAAATGTAAACACACATGCGCAAAACTGCATTAAACACATTATTATCGCAAACGGGCTGATGTGGCTCCAGAGTCGTTATGTTTTATATATTGTAAACTTTAGCAATGTAAAGTTTATTTATGCAGAATATTTTAATTAATAATCTGCTGCAGTGTCACTTGTACAATTGTGTTTGGAAACGTTGGGTTTGATCTGCAGTGGATTGTGGGATTAAACTTCAGAGCTCTTTACTGCTGGACAGGAACATGGATCTGTTGAAATAAGGAACATCCTGAGCTTCTTCTGTTAAATGAGCTCATGGTTCTGGTTCTGGTTTGGATAACAGAGTTAATGCAAAGATGAGCTTGAGTTGAGTTGTTTTATTTATGAATTAAAAGAAGGAAATATGTATTATTTATTTTATTTTACAGTTAAATTATTTATGTAATTAGGGTTTTTTGTAATATAAAATTTTCCTATATGAACTGCCGACCTCTTACACTTCAATTAAAAAAAAAGGACCTTGTGGAATTTCGCAGATTTGTTTTTGCAGTTTTCAGTTTTAGGGGGTTATTTTTTCTTGAAAATATATCGAGATATATATCGTATATCGAGATATAGCAAAATATATAGAGATATATTTTTTGATCCATATCGCCCAGCCCTAATAGAGATGGTTGCATCATAAAGGACATCTGGCATGAACTCTATGGATAGAAGATCACTAGTTTAATTTTACTGAACTGAATAGAATTTTCCTTTTCATTGTGTAAATGCACTGAAATTGATAGACTACTTTGAACTCTTTGTAAAAACTTGCTCACTGGAGTTATATATGTTTGTGATGTCTGTTCCTCTTTCAGATTGTCCGCCTCTTGGCCTTGAGTCTTTGAGGGTCGATGACAGTCAGATGAGGGCGTCTTCATCCTTACGAACTGGTCTGGGGGCACACAGGGGCCGGCTAAATATACAGGTGGGGGTCAATAAGTCATTAAATACAAAATACAACATAACTTGTGTTACTGACACTTTTAATATTACAGATAAATGAAATAGTTATCTTGATTAATTTTGCTTGAAAATATTTCTAAAATAGATGGTGTATCAGAATTCTCCAACTTTTTTTTCTGGTGAGCTACCTTTACAAAACAAAAATCAGAGAGCTACAGATTTTAGCGGTCGCAAGAAAAAACGTATAAACAAGAGCTTTGAGAAGCCTTAGATGGGGTACAGTTAGAAGCCTGTAAAACATAAAACATTGTCCGTTTAGTAGTGTACAAAATTAGGCGTCAAAATGATACTGGTAATATGCATTTAATCAAATGTTAGATATTCAGCACAATATGTATAATTCAGAAATTCCTTGGCAAGCTACCTCGAATGGGGTGGACAGTTACAGGTTGGTGACCCCTGATGTAAATTGCTATCACATTTTGGTGTATGTTAGCAGGTGTTAATAGCTTCTCAGATGCTGGAGATAAAACCATCTACATTCTCAGTCTTTCTTTTGCCATATCAATCTTATAGCATATTATGAGATATAAATTAATGTTTTAAAAGCAAAACAGAAATCATATTATAACTTTCCACAGTACAGTACTTTTACTTGTTTCTAGTGAATAAACAAAATACATCAAACTATCCTAAACCTCAACAATCCTATCTTAGTATATCTGAACAGTCAACAGGACCTGACTGACTTTATTAAAAAATGTCACTGGGTTTGCAGTAAACCCACTTTCTTTCTCTGTAGTTTTATACAGCCCCCATTTGATTGACCATTAAACCCAGTACTGAACCAGTCTGTCAAACACACTTTTGTGTAATGTGTTCCCCATCCCTCTCGCCTGCATCTGAAAGCAATTATTTTACAATCAGGTCAAAATCTTATGTAACACTTAAAAGGTTGTCAAACATCAGTAAAACGTCCGAAAATATTTGTCTAACCTAAACTTAAACTGGCAGATACATTGGGTTTGGTGCATAAAATGGAGAGATTCCAGTAGGACTAAAATAGACGTACGGTAATTTACAACTAAGCATTAATATAGGACTCAGTAGTGGTCTGCATAGTTGAATGAACTGTGTCATTCTGATGTTAAGCCAGAAGAGGTTTTCATGGATGTTTTGAGGTTTTAATACATTTAGCAGCTGATTCAGATCTCCTCTTTGTGGGTTTTCAGTCTGGTATTGAGGACGGAGACAGATACGATGGAGCTTGGTGTGCAAGATACGAAGACAAGAATCAGTGGCTGGAGGTGGACGCACAGCACCTCACAAAGTTCACTGGAGTCATACTCCAAGGAAGAAACTCCATCTGGAGGTCAGGTAGTATTTTACATTGTATAACACATTTGTATGGGTCATAATGTAATTATTTATGTAAAACTATAAAATCGAATCTGACAAAACAGCTCTATAAGGATTCATTCTTAATGTGTTTGAAAATGAGTGAAGAGGGATTTGAAAACATTATATCTTTTGAGTGGGGGAAGGTCCGCACTAGGCCTGTCATGATAACATTTTTAAATGTATTTTTGTTTAAAGCATGATATATTTATTACTACAGAGAAATATGGTGATAAATGATAATATTGAAACTACTTTATGACACTGACACAAAGCAGGATAATCCCAGTAAACCAGTTTTAAATAGACAGGTTCACTAAAAGGCCTCAACTGCAACAAATCAGTAGTAGAATGAACTAATAATTACCCTTTGAAGTTATTTATTCTACACTGTACAGCTCAAATATTACGTTAATACGTAGAAATGCCAAAAATATCCCCACTTTTGCAAATAATATGTACAAACAATAAATGCTGAGTCCTAAAACATATTGCTCCTGCTTTCTTATACTGAATGATAAGACTACATTGTATTTATCGTGACAGGCCTAGTCCTCACAAAATCCTTCACATCGGGAAAGAATTTGCCTGAAACCCATGAATACAGCATTCATAGGGACAATATTGTATTATTAATAATATTTATTTATGTAAGCTTTGCACATGGTTCTAGTCACCTAAACCAAATATTTTTTTTCATGATAGTGCAGTCCTTCACTGCCACCTGTACTGTCAGTAACAATGTCTATAACAGGTTTATGGGTTGCTTTTTTTCTTCAGTTTGGTTTACTTTATTGTACTTGATTTATTAACTTTTAACATTTACTTGAATAATGAAAATGTATTACAGTACAATATATTTAAGTGTATCTATATGTGTTATGAGTGACTGTTAATAACTCAGATCTTTTGGGTTTTTATACCTGCAGCTGGGACTTTGTTGAAACCTACAAAGTGCAGTTGAGCAATGACTCTGTGAAGTGGCAAACCTGCATGAACGGCTCTCAAGAGGCGGTAAGAACTGACGTGTATTTCTTTTAATAAAAGCAATGTTTTAAATAATATTAAGATTCATAATGTGTAGGTTTGAGGCTCACTGTAGTTAAAGGGCCCATATTACAATTTTAAAAAAATCTATGTTATACGTAATATTGTTTCCTCATTATGACATCACAAGGTTCCACCTTGTCATGTGATAATACAAGACCTCCTGTGCTTTATACACCGTCACTTTTAAACTTCATACACCTTCACTAGAGTCATCTGGATGATTTCAGCCCTGGAACTGCCAATCTCTATTGAATTAAAAGTAAAAGGTAGCTGTTAACTTGAAAATGATCTCTTTATGATATCACTAGGTTGAGCCACATTTTGATCTTTGAAGATGTAGACAGACTAATAAAAAAGATTTACTCAAACGTGTGAATGAACTCAACTATGGGTATGTTTTTAAGAAGGTAACAGTATTATAACATGGTTAAAAACTCACAAGAGTCAATTTTGTGTTATACAGAACCTTTAAATCAAATCTTGTAAGCCCATAATATTGCTTGAATGTTGTTAAAATTACATAATCTAACCACAAGAGGGTTTATGCTAATCCCAGTCTTATATAAGTGGGGTGGGTTGTGTCAGCAAGTGAAACTTTCTACTGTATTCAACAAACACATTTGTACTGTGAATATTTGTGTTATTATTTATCATACTTCTAATATTGTATGACTTATTCCTTATTTCAGATTTTCATTGGAAATCAGCACACAGAGATCCCTGTTCTGGGCCTGCTCCCTGTCCCAACTGTGGCCCGTTACATCCGGATCAACCCTCAGACCTGGTACTCCAACGGGACCATCTGCCTCAGAGCCGAGATACTGGGCTGTCGAGTTAAGGGTGAGTATGACCAACACCAACAGTTATAAGGAGCAAGTTAAAGATACACAGTGTAATTTTTCGGGTTAGGGTCCTCCACCTGCTTGCCTAGAGATGTTATTCTCTTGTCTGAATGTCCCGATATGACATTATACATATCCAATCTGCATTTACTCAACCAAATGTTATTTTTTTTAATTGACATAAAAACTTGCATTCTTAGTGTGAGTGGGCTCGCCTCTCCACAGATCTGACATGTAGCTTGGCCCTGTGGTGTCATCTGCTGTCTCCGTAGAGATAAATAAGTGTAATGCCTGTGAAACATCTAAGGGAATATCTCCATGAAGAGAAGCAGGTGACTCCACTAGAAAAGTTACACAGTGCATCTTTATGCTGAATGAGAGTGTCATAGGATATTATTGAGTATGGTGCCTTCTTGTTTTTTGTATTTGCATTAGATATAATATGTTGGAAAACTTTGTACATCAAAAATTTTAGATTTTGTAGATTATTGTTTTAAGTTTGGACCAATTTTTAAATTTTTATCAAGATTAAGTCAAAAACATTTGGTAAATGACAGTAGCGGCAGCCCATGTATGTATCTCTATTGAATAATCAGGGGGTCTTAAGATCAGGGTTTTGGCTGCTATGACTGATAATATCAGCTTGAACAGCAATTCTATTTTTTGCTTGAATGTCTGAGAGCTGAGAGATAGCTTGAGTCTAGTGTGTTTATGGCATTATCTTTATGTTATTTATTGCAACAAATATCTCTGTCTCTGTTTCTGTCTCTATCTCTGTCTATAATACCTCTATTTCCTACAGATCCTTCTAACATCTACGCAGAAGAGGATCATGCCTCCAAAGACAATCTGGACTTCAGACACCATGACTACAAAAACATGAGAACGGTATGGTTGAGAAACTGTGACTAACTATGTCCTCCTCGAAGCTAATGCCTTGTTTTTTACTCAGACCCTTAACTCTTTACAGGTACACTATGAAACTTTCTTGGTAGGGGGTCGACAGTCTGCTTGTCACCCAGTGATATTTCATTGCTTTTCCTAGAATGTTGCACTATAGGGCATTAAATGTATCTGGCATACAGTTACATGTCTTGAAAAACAAATACTTATTGCTTGTCTCTGTGGAGATTTAGATAAACACTGGGAACTTTCTGAGCACAGCAATAACATCTCTATGAAGAAGATTACAGATGTCAGACCCTCCACCAGAAAAGTTGCATATCGTATTGTTCAAGATTGGAGGACCAGTTTTACTCTTTTAGTTTTTTACTTTTCAGTTTTAGTCTTTACTCTTTGTTTTTCACACATTTTGGTCTAACGTGTTTTATTTCTACACTAAAGCTCATGAAGTCAGTACATGATGATTGCCCAAACATCACTAGAATCTACACCATTGGGAGAAGTTACCAGGGTCTCAAACTGTATGTCATGGAGTTTTCTGATAACCCTGGAAAACATGAACTAGGTGAGTGAACTTTTTAAAATACTACTACTTATACTCATTTTTCCCATCACTATGTCAGTCCAATTTTCAGCATTTTCACCAGTACTGACAACGGGGTATTTTCATGTTTTGGAAAATTCACTCAATAGAGAAAACTTTGCAGCTTAATCCTTGCAGTGCAATGCAGGGAGTCGTGATCAATAGATTTTTGTAATAGTACTTACTACTGATTACAGGGGCAAAGAGGGGCAAAAAGCCCAAGGAACAGGTCAATAAAAAATCAACTTGATTGAAAGTGCTTTTACTCCTGAACTCCACTACATCTTAATCGTAAAAATATTGTTCAACAGTTTTCCACTGTTACAAAAATGTATGTAAAATCTACCTGTATGAGCTTTTAACCATGTTATTATGATGTTTTGTCTTCATTGCTTAACTTGTTCAAAGTTGTATTTCAATTGATTCATGCATGTTTGAGTAATAAATAGCTGTAAAAGCACAGTATGTCTTCTTTAAGCCAAAGAACTCATAGTACATATCTTAAAAGTGTCTGGTTTTAAGTTGGGCCCTTGTTGTTTACACTGACATGTCTGTGCAGTCTCACAGGGAGGATGGAGGGTCTTAGAAAAACAAATCAGTTACAGCCAGAACTCAAAACTGACAAACTGCTTCAGTTATCAACCATAAAAAGGGAGGAGGACTTTAATTAAAATGAAATACTTGGCTTTCAGAGGCTGGTTACTCAGATTATTTGGAAAAATGTTTTAGGGACAGGAACATGTTTCAACATATTTCTAAGTTTTCTCCAGAACAGTTCCTTCCAAAGTGTTTTTTCAGTATTAATACTTGTTCTAAAGAGTATCTAGCTCTTACTAGATACTTTAGTATTAGGATTAGTATCTAGTTATTGATTATTTTTGAGAGCCCTAATTTCAAGATCATCATATTTTTCACAATTTAGTTGTTTAGTCATCTCAAATTAGTACTGCCAGCATGGTTTCCTTATCTTATCAATCTTTCAGTTAACTTATTCCGCCAGTTTGTAACCGTTTGCCATTACGTGGTCTATGTTTTATTTTTGTCTTTGGGGGGGAAAGCTCTTTGTTGATTTTTTTCAGCAATTCTAAACCAAAAGTACAAACAAAGAATTGTGGTTTCTGCTGAGTTTGTTGGACTTTCCTGCCAGTTCATTTGTCCATCTGTAGACACTTAACCAGGCCAGCTGACAGCTGTTTTAAGTTACATTGACTTCTCGGTTACATATCTTGGTCAGTTAAATAACAGGCACATTTTGGATTATTGTGCTAAACTCGTGTGGTCTAAAACAGTCGGGATACAAACTTTGTTTTATTTAATTATCAAAATGTATATCTTTGATTTTTAGGATACTTTTCTCTATCATGGCTCATTTTGTATTTTTTATTCACTTATCACTCCCCTGAATGAATCACACGGGACAAGAGACAGCTGTAAGATTTCTCACAGCCTGCTTGTTCCTGCAATTCATGATTTCTCACAGTTTAGCATACAGGGTTTGTTTAGCTCAGCAGTTTTCAAACCTCTCTTTGTTCTGTTCCATGTCTTTCTAAGCTACTGCCAAACAATTAAGGCTTAAAAGACAGAAATGTTGAAAGATTGTGCCACTGTCCTCTTTGGTTACAAAATTGGTGATTATTTTGCAAACAATAAATACAGATGAATCAGCCACAATAAATCAGTACAAATTTACTAAACAAAACAAAGTGCAGTATATATACATTCATATTTGTTATTACCTTTAAGGTGCACTTAGTTTTCAGCATGGCATGTGTCCATTGAGATGGTATTGCTTTGCCTAGAATGTTCCACAATATGGCATTACACTATAACTCAAAGTATCATGTTTTTTTTTTTTTTTTGTTTTTTTTTTATAATTTTAGGCTATAAATGCAAGTTTCATCACTTTAATGTCCTATTGTGAATCATTCTGCAAAGCAACATCAGGTGGGAGACCCCCCACCTGAAGAGTTAGATACCGTACTGTTTAAGTTGCTCACATCTTGTAATGTGACTTCCAACAATCTTTTAAAATTAAAGAAAAAGTACAGTGGACACCAGGATTTAAAGGTGCTCCACTTTTCTGAGTTCCCTTAAATATGAACATAGAAGACTTATAATGTAAGGAGACTTGTACTGTATTTGCTTTGCCAGCCTAGAGACATATATACATACACACACACACGCACACGCACACACATGTATAAATATACATATACATATATATACATTGTGGTAAACTATTCCTAGTACTAACCCATCTATTGTTTTATGTAGCTGTCTGTCAGATGACCCTGTTCATTTCACTGTAATGTTTTGTCTGGACTCTGAGTCCATGTAGATTCCTGCAGATGTGAGCTTTGGCTGCATGTTGGCCTTGTGTTATGTCTTCTCTTTTGCTTTAGGTGAGCCAGAGTTTCGTTACGTGGCCGGGATGCACGGGAACGAGGTCCTGGGACGAGAGCTGGTCCTGAACCTGATGCAGTATCTGTGTCGAGAGTTCAAAAAGGGAAACCAACGAATTGCAAGGCTCATAACAGAGACAAGGATTCACCTGCTACCATCAATGAACCCTGACGGATATGAGGAGGCCTATAAGAAGGTAAGTAATGGACTAATATATCTCTTAAATATATTAAAACAAAAAAGAAAAAAAAAAAAAGACCCCACACCATGTCTCTGCAAATTAAATATATTATTTAGAGTTATGGTTCCTGCCTGGTATCGTACCTTGACAATAATGAGCTTTTTTGTTGTAGACTTAACTAATTAAACTTAGAGATAAAATATGGATTAAAAAACAAAGGTACCTTTTTATAATCCATTCCTTTATTTTGTAGCGTGTCACAGGCAAAGTCAACAGATATTGATACAGTTGAACATTGGAAATGTTACTGCTTTTCCTGGAATGTTCCGCCATATGACATAAAACGAGAAGTAAATTACAGTTGTTTTTATTGTGTTGTGTTTATTGCTCAATATACCTTAAAAACATTGTGTAGTTGCCTCTCCTTGCTTGTTTCTTTGGAAATGGACATGTTTAATGCTGTGCTGTAGAAAATTTCTGGCAAAGCAAAAACATCTCCATGGAAAAAAGCAGCTGGCGGAACCTCTACAAGAAAAATTCCACTGTGCACCTTTAAGTGTTCACTAGTTTACTATTTTATATACCACACCTTAGTTGGATCTGCTTATTTCATAAAGTCTGTTATCTGTACAGGGCTCGGAGCTGGCTGGTTGGGCTGATGGTCGCTATAGTTATGAAGGAATCGACTTGAACCATAACTTTCCAGATCTGAACAACATCATGTGGAACGCTCAGGAACGGGCTCTGACGAGGGCCCGGGAAAAATCTGAAGTTCCCAACCACTACATCCCTATGCCTGAATACTACACCAAGGAGGACGCTATGGTAACAACACATAAAGCCAATAATACTAAGACAGCGGTTTTGTTGCAAATTTGTGATAATCTCCTATATTGTTCATTCTTAATAGTCCTGTCTAAGACTTTTGTAGAGTACTAAGTTTAATGCTATCTTCAGACACCCCTTATGATGATGACTAAGAACAAAGAATTTGACCCACATAAACTTCACAAGCTTAGTCACTGGTGAAGAATAAAAGATCAGTCTTTGGTTTGTGGCTGTTTAAAAAGGTTTTAATATGTTTCCAGGAACAGAAATGGGGAAAAAGTGGTCTGTCAGCATTGGCCTGTACTCCGTTTAGGTTAAATTTAGATTATCTAACTTAATTATTTTCCGTAGTAATTATAGTTAAATAAATGCTTGCTGTGGTTGCCAGCTAGTGCATGACTGCATTTGACCTACATCTATCAAAGTAGGTAAGTGTATGGTACTTCCTTTTAAGTAAACCAAGATAGAATTTAGACATGATTTAGCTTGGATAATATAGCAATAATGGAAACAAATGGAACGTGGCTTCTGGATGGGATCAGAAATGTTGTGATCGACAAAACAGCTCATAAACAGATTGTAAAAACGGAGTCCAGATGACCACTTATGCAACTTTCTCTACCTTGTGAGGAACTAATACAACTGTAAAACTATACCTCAGTTAAAAAGCACGAAGCTCATCACTGACTATTTAAAATGACTGGATCTCAGTATTATTAAGTATACCACTCTGATTAAGACATGGTTATAGTCCTGTACATAAGTTGACTTCATGTTTAGTCCTGATTTAAGCCTATTTTAGTCATGGAACCTGGTGTGACAAGTTTGAGAATAACTGTTGTAGCATTTTTATTTTTTTTTGTTAGGTTGCCCCGGAAACCAGAGCTGTGATAAACTGGATGGAGGAGATTCCGTTCGTGCTGAGTGCAAACCTTCATGGGGGCGAGCTGGTGGTCACATACCCGTTTGACTGCACCCGGGACTGGGCACCACAGGAGGACACACCCACCGCAGACAATGCTTTCTTCAGGTGGTTAGCTTCGGTCTACGCCTCCACAAACCTAGTCATGTCCAACCCCGACCGACGCGTGTGCCACTACGAGAACTTCCAACAGCACAACAACATCATCAACGGAGGAGCCTGGCACACCGTCCCTGGAAGTGAGTACAGGAGAAGATACAGTACCATAACACTACATTAATAATGCATTGCTCTTATATAACGCTTTTCCAGATGCTCAATATCACTTTACAATTTGGTGCATTATTCATTCTATTGTAGACACAGCTGCCCTGGGGCAGACTGATGGAAGGAAGGCTGCTAATCTGTGCCATCTGTCCCTCAAACCACCAGAAACACTCACACACCACTTACATACTAGGCAATGTGGGTTAAGTGTCTTGCCTAAGGACATAACAACAGTTTTTGCCACTTGCGCCCCACTGTGGCACCTGATTTTCATGGCAGTCTTACATCCAAACACTGATCAGGCCCGGCATTGCTTACCTTCTAAGATTTGTGAGATCAGGCTTTGACAAGGAGGTTTGACCTCAAAATAATGGCTGTGGTTGGGTGATACAAGCAAAAATGTTATGGTATTGTTTTTTTTTTATTTGAACAGGGACATTGCACAACAATTCCTAGTCCAAGGAAAGATGCAGGTGCCAGGTTATAGCTTGAATGCTAATTTACACCTGTAGTCCCTGAGAAAATTGGTGTAAATACTGAAAATACAGATGAAATTAATAGAAAAACAAATAATCTCCTGACAACAATAGCCAGATCATATTTTACAGTCCATCCGAAATGTGCTGAGTGCCAGTAAATGTCTTGGTTGAGGTTCAAGTATGAAAGGACTGCAAGCTAACACACAAAGTGCAGAAAATATGACCTTATTTGGAAGATTAGTTTTCTGATTAATTCTTTTTGGCAGTTGTCTTATTATAGATAATAAAGTATTGGGGAACACGATTTGTATTGCTGTGCACTCACCAACTGGTGAAATTTTTAAACTATATTAAAACATTCAAACGTAGTCTGTGTTTTTCTGCAGGTATGAATGACTTCAGTTACCTCCACACAAACTGTTTCGAGGTGACGGTGGAGCTGTCATGTGATAAGTATCCTCATGCATCTGAGCTTCCGGTCGAATGGGAGAACAACAAGGAGTCTCTGCTCGTCTACATGGAACAGGTCAGGAAATACAAAATAAGACCATAAATATTACTTATTTACTATTGTGTCATAGCAGCCACCAGCCAATAGTTAAAACACGCAATGTTTTAGATATTTTATATCTTGTATCTTTAGGTTCACAGAGGAATCAAAGGAGTGATCAGGGATAAACAGACCAGAAAAGGAATTGCGGACGCCATTATCAAAGTAGATGACCATGAACATGACATCAGATCAGGTAAAGTGTTTTTATGTAAATTATTTGACAGAAATGTTTTTTAGCTGTCTATATGTCTGGTTGTATCACTGCCCCCCTTTGGTTGACTCTGACCGGCCCATTTAAGATAAACTGGAATTTCAAAATAAACGTATTTCAGAATTTTACTTTATGCATGGACTACAGCTGCATTGCTTTTATTTTAGTGGTGTTTTTTATGACATTTTTTGTAAGGCAATCTCATGTTTTCATTGCTTAGTCATAACATTAACTCTTACCAGTCTTACCAGCTTGTCAAAACAAATCTATTTACTGCTTTTTATAAAGAAATACTATTCATATTATGCAGAATATAGTTAAGCATTTTGGTCTGGCCCTCCACAATATTTTCTGTTTTTCATATTGCCCCATACAAAAAATAATTGCCCAACCCCTGATATAAAATATACTCTGCAATTGAAGTTTTAAACATTGTAAATTATTAAGTAATGTTTAGATTAGAGTTCTTTTTTCAATAATTAATTTGGACTTTGCAAAGATGACATGTGAAATGTAAGGGGAAAAAAAGAAAATCTACGCTAACTTAAGAATAACATATGTATTTTTTTTATTTCTTTGTTTTACATCAAATGGGCGTGAATGATTTTGGAGAAATATCTAATTGTGATTTACTAATACAAGAATAGCATGCATTTTACAGAGTATCTTTAACTACAACCTTTCAAATTGCAATTTCCATTCGATATATTTATTTTTGCAGCCCTAACTGCTCATGTATCTTGCAGCTGAGGGTGGAGACTACTGGCGCCTGTTAAATCCTGGTGAATATAAGATCGTTGTTTTGGCGGTTGGTTACTTTCCCTCCGTGCGGCGCTGCACTGTCGGTATGGAGCCCCGTCCCACTCTTTGCGACTTCACTTTAACCAAAACCCCCGCAGAGGTCCTAAAACAGATCAGAGCCAAAGGAGGTAAGGTTCCCCAGGATGTCCAGCTTCGAGTGAGAGCTCTGAGGCTAAAGAAGCTACGAGCAAGCACCAAAGTCCTCAACCAGAAGAGAGAGGGCCCCAGACTAAGAGAACAGGCCCGGAGAAAGAACAGGAAGGCACGGGCTGCTGGGGTCTGGAGGGCTTCAAAATGAGACGAGTTGGACATATAAACTGCCCTTCACAAATTCTGATGCTCTGGAGAGAAGAGTTGGTCATGCTTAGGGTTGTTTTAGAAATCTACTAACTTTAAAGTGCATATGACAGGTTTTCCCATTTTCTAACTCTTTTACTGTATTTGGTGGAATAGTAAAATAACATAGTTTTATTATGTCAAGTGGCGGTTTGTGAAGAAAAGTTTGAAAAAAGTTAAAAACTGCAGGAAGTAGCGATGAGTTCTAGAAAGGAACCCTGTTCACTTTGGGCAGTTCAAACATTCATTAAAGAAAATACAGGTCTTATTTTTAGTTGTCAAATAAAATTGGACAACTTTATAATATGGTTGCTTAGTAACAGTTATGGAATTGCTTCCATTTAAACCGGGAAGTAAAATTTCAAACTTAACCAAAATGATCAAATTAGAGAAAACTTTAGTCAAATTAGTTATCTAACCTGTCATATTCACTTTAAGACCCTACTAACTTATGCCAAGCTGTAGCTTGAACTCTGAATGTTTGTTGCGATAGACAGGCCCTCTTCCAGGCTGATTCATACCAGGTCCTAACTAATATTTCCTGTTTTTGTCAACTAATTTTGAATTATATTTTTGCATCACCCACTGTGAGTATGGGACCACTCCAAATTATAATCCCCCAAGCATACACTTTTATTATTAACAAATAAATGAAAATTGAGTAACAATATGTTCACAATGAGGATTATAAAAGGTATCGACACACACAGAAGGGTAGACTCTGATGCCATGTTCCTTGTTTTACTGCTTCTGTGAAAAACAGTGACGAGTTGAGGATTTAAATGTCAGCAGGACTGATGATTGTACTTTGACAGTGTTTGACCTGGTCCACCAAGACTGCAAAAGTAAAATAAATATTGTCATAATTTTCTGAATGTACAGTGTACATTTGTGTCACAGTGTTTATTTGATAAATAAATTCTTAACACCTAATGCCTGAATCACTTAAGGTCAATAAAATAAAAAAGTGAAATTGTTTTGTTGTAATTGTGATAACTAAAAAAATTTACTTTGAGATGTGTCACGTAATGCATTATCATATCATTACAGTGGCTATGAAATATTCACAATAACATGATCATGATCGTATCATAGCCATAATGTAATTTCATGCATCTGAAGTATAAGCTCTCAATCAGTGCTACAAAAGAAGCCACCTTTTATTTCAGTGATAACTAGCAGAAGGAAAAAAAACTTGAAGGTGTAAACTCATGACGTCATGCCTTAAAAATGGCCAAAAAAATCAAATAAAAGAGATCTCATATAATACACCACAAATGACAGGTAAAACAGAGCATGGATAATGTATATATATTCATTCATTATTCCACACTCTGTCCACACATAGACAGTCGCCACAACTGCCCTGGGGTAAACTGATGAAAGTGTGGCTTTAAATCTCTATCATCGTCTGACCATTACCAATTATCAATATTGGGCTAATGCTTAAACCTTACAAACTTTGTCCCCATCTTAAGCCAGAACAACTGTAAGTGTGTCATGTCTGGAAAGGGTCTGGTATTTATCTCAAATTAGTCTGTGATTTGCTTGTGTACCAAACATGTAGTGCTTGTTGTAAATGTTCTACCATATTCTAATTTGCTGAGCTGCACCTCTTATGGTAAGACTTTTTAAAAATACAATGTAAAATCTTATTAATCCACAGGGACATATTTGAAGATGGAAGCGATCCCATCCAAAAAAAAAAAAACCCTTCACAATAAAGATTTTAATTCACCTTCACAAAGCATTTGGCATCTAAAGTCTCAACAATAAGCACACATCAAGTTACAATTAGAGAAAGTAGGCCCTCCACATAAGCTGCAGTGCATAGTATTCGTCCCTTTAAAAAAACAGGCACCAATTTTCACACAAAATCCAGGTAACACACTCAAGCAACAGGGAGTGTAGAGTGGGAGACTAGGGGGGAAAAACTTGAATAGAAAAAGAAAATGGTTGTCCAACACTGATGAGGAATACAATTTGAATAAAAAAAAGTTTTGGCAACAATTGCATGAAGTAAAAATTAAACAAATATTTTCTTAGCCATGAGAAGAGACCAAAGTTAAGTTTGTCAAATTTTAAATATGCAACAGGTCACAAATAAACTGAAATATCAATTGGAGAAAGAGATGAAAGTTTAAAACACAATGCTGGCAGCCTGGTCAGTCATACAACATTCAGTAGAATTCCCAATGAAAGCTACAGTATGTAACATTTCTGTAACCTTTACGTTGGGTATGTCACCTAGTTGTCTCCACAACGCTAATATTGCTTTGTCTTAAATGCTCCACAGTATGGCATTTAAGTTATATAGCTCTATCGAGTTACAGAAAAGATCTGTGGAGTGGAGAGCCTGCTTACAATAAAATGTATGTTCTTTTAAACAATAAAAACACCTGCGATTGATTAAATGAATGCAAAAAAAAGCAAATATCGTACTGTGAAACATTTAGGCAAGCAATAACCAGAAAAAATAATATAGTTCAATGTTAATTTGAATACATGGTTGAGCTTTTTTTGATCTTTAGCGTCAAGGTCTGGTTAATATGTTACTCATTTAAATCTTAGTTCGGATCTTAGTTAAATTCTGATACCATAAGTACCAGTTATTTTTAAAGTATCACATTACAGTATAGTGGCCAGGCTGCAGTATTGTTGTTTATCGATAACAAGTTTTCTGGTACAAGCGTTAAGACAAACAAAAATGTGATGGGAGTTTTGATAAAAGTCAAACAGCGCCCTCTAGCGCAGCACCAGCTAAATCCGATAGAAACCAAAACTGTGCTACATATAGTGCCAGCAGTAATATCATTAAAACCACTAAGAGTCCATAACATTGTCTTGAGGGAAGAAACAAAAGGCAAAAGGGGAACTAGATCCAAGTAGGGGGTCAGAGTTCAAAGCAGAAATGCAGCACCTATGAAAAAGGCATATTGTCACGCAAAAGCAATGCCTCCAGGTTTACAAGTTTGCAAATTTAGTGTTATTCAGTCCAAACAACAAGATCCAGTCATACAAAAGTGAGTTAGTAGTACTGCTCTCCATAATAATCCATTGTCATTGTCTTTGCATTTCAAAGTTTAACATGAAATCTTCTTTTATCTAGCACCTTTTCCTTCACAGGTCCATAGCACATTTTGTAAGACATTTTTCTTCTTTTATTCGACTTCTCAGTTCAACAACTTTCCAAAAAACATTGTCAATGCAGCTGCAGACCTGGGTTTAGAAGTAAATATTTTAAGGCTTGCTTAGAGTACAATAATTTTCAAACAGGTTACACAATACCCAAAAACACTAGAGGTTTACAATGAATTCTTCCTCATACCATACAGATATGGTAGTACATTAGAGTTCCTTAATGCAGCCAACAAGGGCAGGGTACTGTGCAAGTGTATTTTATTACAAATCTAGAAAAACATATGGAAAACAGCTTCTAGTTAAATTATTTATAAAGCAAATTATACTTTGGCTATTTTACTTTCTGGGTTTTTAGATGACATAACATTCAGTGGTTGATAATATTTAATACAGATGACGGCAGCCAAGATAAATATTGTTAAAATGCTGATTTTGTTGTAATAGAAAATGTTTCGGGTCCAGTCATTAATAGAAATCAGGTTGCGCATTTGTCTGTTTTCCTTTAAAAGAGTTCTCATCAAAATACCTAATAATCAACAGAGAAAAATAGCTCTTACTCCCCCCATCTGAGAGTTCTGAAAATCTGAAAAATCACCAATACAAATGCTAATAAATAAGAATTGAAACCTATGCCAGAACAATATGCAAACCACAGCACAATTGAAGACAGTATAATGTCATTAAAGGACTACTCCTAATCCCAGGCCTGCAGAGTTAGGCTTCCTTGTTTCTTGTGACCAGCTAAAACTTGGGCTGATACAAAGCCACGCGTCCACTGAGGCAGCCCGAGGCCAGCTGACAGTGAGTGGGAGAGAACTTTGTGGTGAGAACAACGTCACTGTGAGAATAAATGGACCGAATTTCCTTCAAAACGCTGGTTTGGACCGGGACACAGTCTGACAGCTCCCCACAGCCCTCATCAAACGCCAGCAGTCTCACCCCATACCCATAGGGGGAGCAGATGAGACGGCCGTCAGGGCTGAAACACAGCTCCTTGATGTAGCCTCGTCCCACGTTGGCCTCCTCAATATAATGGGTCAGACGCAGAGAGCAGCGCGGAGAGACCAGGGGTCGAGTGGGTGCCCCCTCCTGGAACTCGTACACACAAGTCCACTGGGGACAGAGAGGGAGGGCACATTTTAAAGACTGTTCTGTGATGAACTGAAGATGATACAGCAAACAATTAACAATGCCAAATCATGCACAATAATGACAACCACAATAACAGCAACAAAATAATTACCAACTCTAGAGTGGGTCACGGAAACTGTATAGATGCAAAGATGTTTTGATGGATTCTGTTTCAATTTGGAGTATTGACTAAATATGAATTTTTTTACTGACCAAAAGAACAAATGTTGCTGTGGATTCTTAACTACAGTACATAAAAATCATTTAACCCAAAAACTAAATGTCTTTAGTACAATGTTGTGCCTTCCTTGTTCATACTTCAGTTTCTACACGAGTATTCCTTTTCTACTACCTTTCTAAAATTGTATAAAGCATATGCAAGATGCACAAGATTTGCACAACACAAAAACTGTTGCTGGTTGCCGTTTCTATTGTATGCTCTCTTCAGCTGTTTCACAGGTTTGGCACTAGTATGCAACTAGTTGGTTTATTTAAACTCTGTTACCTCCTGATCATCCATGTTGCTGGAGCAGCGGATGAGCGTGGCCCAGCCTTTGGGGTGGAGTTGGAGGGAGGTGATACAGTTGCCTCGGTCCCTCTCTCCAGGGATCTCTGGCGTTAAAACTTCCAGGCTGTTTCTCGGTGACAGACCTAACATAGCAAAAAGAGATGTAAAAATAAATATATGAACATCATAAATAATAACGGCATATGTAAAGAACTGCATTGTGTGAAGTTAGGGCAAAGTAAAAGCCTGATATCGGACCTTCTCTGTGTGGGTGGAGTTTACTAGAATCGTTTCCCTGGCGACTTCCAGCTGGCCGAGATGCAGACGTGCCTCCATCTGTAAAATAAATGTTAACACATCATTAACGCACTTACATCAAGCCAATGTACAGAAAACATAATATAAAAATAAAATGTGTGAAAGTTCATTAAATTGCACATTATTTTTAAGGGTATATCATAAGCAACACAACACATTAGTAATAATATTGACTTAATGAGGCTTGAATACTACTATGAGAATCTAAATTATTACACAAAATTGACTCTTATGAGCTTTAAGCCATGCTATAATGTTATTACCTCTTCAAAAACATACCCAGAGTTGTGTTTGTTTCATTTACACATATCCTTTATTATTAGCCTGTCTACAGCTCCAAAGGTCAAAATGCCCTGTTCCACCTTGTGATGTCATGAAGCTAACATGAAGTTAACATCTACCTTTTAACTTTTGTTCAGCAGAGATCAGTAATTCCAGGGCTGACATCATCCAAATGATTCTAGTGAAGGTGTTTAAAATCATGGTATACTTCTTGTAATTATGCAGGATTTGAGTGTTAAACGTGTGTGAAACAAAACATAACTCCGGGTATGTTTTTTGACAAGGAAACATTACAAATACACCTCAGACAATAAAATAATAAGGGCCCTGTACAGTTCAACATTTATTTCAACCACAAGTACAATAAGCTAGATTCAGACTAACCGGAGCTGAGTGGAGTCCTCCTGGCCCGAAGCATGCGGTAGCTGCCCACCTCCAGGGACTGAGTGAGGTCGAGGTCGTGGAGGATCAGCAGATATCCAGATGAGGTGGAGATCAGCATCTTTGAACAGTCTGGAGTCAAACGCATCCGCATCAGGTACCGGGTGTGGAAGAACTTCTTATGAGGGCAGCCATCTTCTGTGAACCTGTGCAGGGAAGGGAATGAGAAGTGTTTATACATTTTACACAATGTAGACTTTAAAAATGAATACTACTGAAAGATAGATCTTTTAGTCTTCTAAAAATTGACAAAGCTGGGGAGTAAATAGTGCTTTTCCTCCAGATTATATAGAGTAAAACTTGACGATACAAACATATGCCAAGGACACTCTATTGGTCTCCACAATAACAATAAAATTCTTAAGTTCAAACCATGTTTATAACCAAATTTCTCTGAAAGACCAATTTCTCATAGTATTTACTTTATTGGTGTTTTTATTTCCATCAAAGCATTATATGTTTGGGACTGCATATCTTAAGAAACTGTAGCAGAAGTAATGTTTCATGTTACTGCAATTTTTGGAGGACCCCAAACATATGGCCCTAAGGAAAATTAGATCGCTTGTGCCATCTGTACTTAAATTTTTTTTTTTTTACTTTTTTAAAACGTGAATGTAACAGCCGTGAGCAGCTGTCCATTCTATTTTCACTTTGCCATCTGAAAAAACCTGTTCTGAAGCCACGCATTTGACCAAAACAGATAAAATCTCCCCTTTACACTTCATTCAGTGTGAATTCATTTAATCAAAACACCAAAAGCATTAAACTCACACACCTGTTGGTGTCCCAGGTGATGACATTGCCGTCAAAGCCAGAGGTGACGAGGAGGCGAGTGTTTGTGTCATACTCGATGTTTTTCACCCAGCTGGCGTGACCGTGCAAAGAGCAAACCTTCGAATTCAGTTTACGGAGGTCCCATAATGCAATTGTGGTGTCATCGGAGCAGGTGGCAAACAGGCGATTGTCCAAAAACCTGCAGGGGCATGTGCAGTTTAGACGGAGGGGGCAAGTATAACAATCAGAAAGAACATTACAACCATCTGTCTCCTTGACTGCAACATAAGCAACCAACTCTAATGCACTACTCTATGGTCTTGTTGGAGTCAAATATCATTCAAGAATCACACTTAGTTAAAATGGGCAAAATACAAACTAGATTACCAAAATTCTTATCAGCTGTATTATTTCAGTGCCTATCTGTCTATTGTGGAAAACATTTCCTCTCAAATATCCCCATCTCATTCAGATTTAAATCTATATCTCAAAATAACATTTCGAGCTAGGCCAGTTGATTTGGCAAAAGTCAGTACTGTTTCTTGGTCCACTTTTTTGCTTTTTTCTCTTAACTGCCATTTTTGTTTGATACAGACAAACCACTGATCCACACCCATTGGAGAACACCTGGTCCCAGGCTATAGTTTTTGTAAAATATATGAAAAGTATTTCTGGGTGTCTAGGCATGTAATTACTAGGAATGGGATGAGACAATTTCCACACAACGAGATGAGATAAGAGCTTGGGTCTACAAGAATGAGATTTTAACATAATTCCTAATATATACATTTCCCAATTCAGCTTCCTATTTGGCTTCACAACTGTTTATTTCTTTGATTAAATATTTTTATTTCCATTCTACTACTGCTTTTTGGGACTGTAAGAGATGTAACTCACCAATTTTATCCAATCCAAATGTAAAAAGTTGAAAAAAATAAAATAAAAATCTCACAATATCATTTTTCTTATGCGTGCACAATCTTGTGGCAATTTTGTCTTGCAAATTCTTGTGGCATGAGATCTTGTCCTATCCCCAGTAATCACCCATCATTTTATTTTTATTTATACATGTGTTTTTTAACTTTCAGTGGCCATACTCACATTGATATAATTAAAGACAATCTGTTAAAGACATATGTCTGTGAAAATATCAGTATTTTCAGATATCAAACCTTATGTTGTTGACACAGTCTTCATGAGCCTCCGTCAGAGTTTTTATGTGTCGAGACGAGATTGGATCAAACAGCAGCACCTCCGTCTGCTCACAGGCCACAGTCAGCACCGATCTGCAAAACACAAAACACTTTTATTAACATCATTGTTCTTATCGCAATATATGCCAAAGAAACCAACATATACACTGAGACCACTGTATTTAAATATGTTTATAAATTTTTAAGGGGCACTATGTCACTTTTCTGATGAAGGGTCCGCTACTTTCTTGTCAAAAATGTTCCACGGTGTAGTATTAAGAGGGTATACACCACCAGGTTAAGTCTGTGAATAGGTGATACTGCTTACATGGTAAAAAGGCATTTCATAGCATTATAAACACACAAGGAAGGAATTAATGCAAGATATTCAAGTTTCATCTCATTCTAGGCAGCATTCCAGGAAAAGCATTAACATCTCCAAGGAGACAAGCCAAGATTACATAGTGCAACTTTAACAGTTTTGACCAACTCACAGTAGACAGAAAGTCAGGCACAGAATACACACAGAGGGAAATGGAAAAAGAAAAACTATTAAAAGTGCTGACAGGAGGACTAACTTATGCTAAACTTTAGTTGGGTTTCAGTAAAATGGGTCCTGAGCTGCCCGGGGAGCCTCTCTAATGTTTTCCAGACTTAGCCCAGTCAGTTAACGGTGCATTTACCACACAGCACGGCACCTCTTCAGTCTCACACCATTTATTCTGTTCTGACTAAAGTTTTTCGAAATAAGATTCTCAAGTTTTATGCAGCTACATATATTGTGGAGTGTAGGAAAAATATAGCTTAACTCTTAAATCTTTGCAGCAATTATTATGTGTTCTTCCCATGTTCTTCTGCCTTTATTTTATTTTGCTGCATTTACTGTATATTTTGTATATATTTACTCAAAGTCTATGATACCAGAATCTTCTGATTTATACAAACAGGGGGTCCAATGTTATGTTTAGATTTGTTTTTGTGTTTTGCATATTTCCTCTTAGTTAATATGAACATCACAATTCATTTTATTAACTTTTAATGGCTGGCTTAAATAACCATATTGAGTAGGGATGTTACGATACCAGTTTTAGTGTTGTGAGTATTCACAATTATGAAGTGAAATTCTTCACTTTCATTTGCATGGTCTAAAAGATAACCATTGATCTAGTATGTGACGACCTTTATGCAATCAACTTTCTGAATGAAAAAGTTATTTTAAAGGTCCTATATTACACAAAATTGACTCTTTAAGCTTTAACCTATGTTAGAATGTTGCTACAATCAAAAACATACAAAGAACTGTGTTTTGTTTCATTCACACATCTTTGAGTAACCCTTTTATATAGTGGGTCTACATTTCCAAAGCTCAAAATACTCTATTCCACAACGTGATGTCATGAAGAGGAAGTTTTCAAGTTGAATGGCTACCTTTATTCTAGTAAAGCTAAAAATTATTCTAGTAAAGGTGTACGGAGTTTAAAAACACAGTGGAGCACTTCTTGTATTGCCACATCACAAGGTATAACAGTGTTTTCTGTGTGAGAAAAGAACTAACTATGTAGAGTTTATGTGTTAAACTTGTGTGAATGAAAACAAAACACCAATCTAGACATGTTTATGATGAGGAAGCAACATTACAAAAGATAAGGAAATAATGTAATATGGGTCCTTTAATGTGGAGTAAGCATTTTACATTTTTATGCATTATCTATTTTTCCATCTAAATTTGTCTACATAATATCATAATATCATGTGTCTCATATATATTCACTATTACTGATCAACTGAAAAATCGGGATATCACTACCAATGAGTAAACTAACCATATGTTTTATCTATAAGACTTCTGTGTGTATAATATATTCCTGTCTCAACACAAACACTATGTAATTGTAGTCATTATGCATGATTAAATTAAACTATCTTAATTTAGAAGATCCAAGTTTAAAAGAGATACGAGAGAAGTTGCTATGGTTACAATATAAACTCTCATAATAAGACATATGTTACTCCTGCTGTGAGTGGGGTTGGATAGACCAGCTTTGAACGAGAGCTTGACCTGGTTCAAGGAGGATTTAGTCCACAAACCTGCAGCCGTCTGGTGCTGTGCTGCTGTAGACTTAATAGGTGTGGACAAAGAGAAAACTGAAATAAGTGGCACCATTGTTCAAATACAGTTGCAAGGGCAAACTATTCCAAAAAAGCAATGTTACTGTGCTGTGTTACTGTATTACTGTTAGGTTTATGTTTATTTATACTTATATTTATTTAGTTTTATAGTTTGTGTGCTTATAACAAGAGACCATTTTGGTCTACAAATTGGGGGACTAAAGCAATTTACCACTCATTGTTGGCATCTCATAATATTAAACTTGTGCTTCTACAAAGCTGTTCTGTAGTTACTTTAACTTATAAATATCAGTTACAAAACACGTTTGGATCATTTTACCTCACACTGTTTGTGTTTAAAGAAACTAAATCATATTTTCAGTTTCTGCACTAGTGTCAGGTAATATCAGGTATCTGCAAATATTGAAGGCCATATCTGAAGTAAATATTGAAGTACTGACATTTGTATCAGAACAGAAAAAGCTGGATCAGTACTTCCTTTTACTCATCACCTCATTTAAAAAAAAAAAGGAGTCTGGACTATTTTTGCAGTTGTAAAGAAGAGTAATAAACACTTACTCTTTAGGCCAACATCCTTTATTTAAGATTTACTCTATAATGTGAGTTTCAGCTTTGACCATTTAATTTACTTTAGGTTGCCATTTTTTCATCAGTGTTCTTTCCAATTATGAGTAAAGTAAAGTAGAAAATGTATTGCATCATATCTTTACATCTACTTATTTACAATGGCATTAATGCCTTTTTGTGACCTATTGCTTCATATTCCAGTTTAAGGTTAAGTCATTTTTTCAATAATCGTGATGTTCCAATGTTGTGACCATCCAAACATGATTAAAAGTCCCCTTTAGGCCTATTTACACTGCTCACACACAATAACATTCTAATTCGGTACCTAAAGGGATCATTATTTTTGTTTTGAATGATTTCCGCGTAAGTTGCTATAAGTAAGTGGTTTATATCAAACTTCTCTATAGCACAGAGTTATATACAGTGAAACAGAAATCCAAAGGGTCAGGTGAAGGCCAAGTAAAGAATTAATCTGCCCCAGGTCTAGTCTTACCCATCCGGGGAGTACTCCAAATTGAACACCGCTCCGTGCGTCTGAGTGCTCAGGTTTACCGACTCTGACGCAGGGTTCATAGAGCAGTACAGACTTGTCATCGTCTTGAAATTGTCCCGTGCGGGGTCCACAAATACCCCTCGCCTAATAGTCCTACTCTGGAGCCATGAAAACAGGCTGTTCCCCTTGTAGCCACCACCACCGCTGCCGCCGCTCCCAGTCTGCTGCTGTGCGTCTTTCCGCTTGCACCGCTCCTCCTCGGACAGCTCTCCCCGCTCCCCGCCGCTACTTCTCGGAGGTGAAGACGAAACTCCGCGTACAATACCATCATCATCGTCATCCGAGTCGTCGATATCGGGGTCTTCTTTGTCGCTGCCGCCGCCGTCCTGGGGCCTGTCCTGGTTCTCGTCCGCGTCCTCGCTGCTGTCGCTTTGGTGCTCCGAGCTCATTGTAGTTTTGCCGTCGCGCGCCCTAACTGCCGCTCTTTAACGAGCCAACACATCCGAGGGAACTACCGGCGAATAAAGCATAGACCTGGGGTGTTGTACCGGAGTTTTGACGGTGCACAGCGGTGGATCAGCGCTGCAGAGGTTACATTTTGTTGTCAGACTTGGCAGACAGACTCAGCAGCCGCGCGTAAAGCTCTCCGGATTATCAGGAACTAATTCGGAAATGGGAGACGACCCTTCAAAATAAAAGGCATTTACTGGAACAACATATTTTGCACCTTTATGATTATTATTGTGTCTGAATATTTTGTTGCAAGAGTAAATCAATCTACAAATCCGCATTTATCTTGACATGCGAACAATTAAAAACCTTATTTACGTTATACACTTGATTAGAGGAAGACATTTTCTATACATTTTAAAATGAAAAGTTGTCGGAAAGTTATTTGCATCATTAAAACATTTCTCTCACTTTTTTTTCTCGCCAAAAACAAAATAAAATTAAATGACGAAGTTCCGCTTCCCCAATCACTTGGCTACTGCAGTTTATTTGCTTCTTTCTGCCATCTGGTGGACAAATAGTTTTTTGCAATTAGTAATTTTATTGTCAGTAAAGTGGCCAATTAGTATGTCATCACTACGGTCATGCAGTCTACGAAACCTATATTATGCTTTGCTGGGCAGATGCCTATTAGGCTACTTTTTATTTACAAATTCTCATTTTCAGCAGCCTATAATAATAATTCAATTCCAAATGTACCCTATGTTCATAGCCAACTGTACACTTTTCTGTTCTTTCAAAGACATTCAGACAGTGTAAACGTTCTGTCACTCACTGTTTAAAGGCATGGACCCTTGTTTCTAAAGTATAACTTATTTGCATTTTTCCTTGCAGGGTCCCAATGACAGACATGGCTCTCTGTGTATTCAAATCAGGTTAACATGCCAGGACAAACAGACGGATGTCCCCAGGCACCTGAACTTGAGACATAATCATAGTTTGTGTAGTTTCCAATTGATGCTTGCCTCAACCTCACTGCCCCTGGTACTCTGCCAAATTTTCAGAGGTGAAGAAGAGAACAGTGTTAAGCGACCTTATTGTTTTGTTTTTCATAGACATGTATTGTGATGTTGATAAATTAATACTGATTCAATATTTTTATTAGATAAAAACACACTAACAGCAACACATTTTCAGATATAAGGCAATGTCCACCAGCAACTGACCAGAACTGAAGAACTGCTTGGATAAGCTGTGAAACGTCTTCACCCAAAATCTTTTGTCTAGTTGACAGATTTTATTTATTTTTTTCCTTTTGCTATACCTTTCAAAGAGAAGCAATCCTACTCTCATTTAAATCGCTGTGTGTTCATTTAAACACCCTTTTCAGATTATAGATATAATAGATAATGATAGACCTATATGTAGCTATTCATTTATCTATAGTTTAGATTTGGATATCAACACCCAAATGCCAGCACGTAGAGATTATTCATGGATAACATCTGGATGCGGCGTCTTGACTTCAACAGTTTTACGCACTGAGGTTCACCTGCTATGAGAGAAGGATTTTACTAAAAGAAGGAGGGCGTTGAGGACGTCGTGCACGCGCTCTGAATATATTAACACGCACGTGAAGTCCCCATACATAAACAGCGCAAACAGCTGTGCGCCTTATGCCATAATGCTCCATCACTGTGCGCTTTTACGCACGGCAGCAGTGCGTGGCTCGATGCTGCTCTGGGCTGCGGTGACTCTGCTCATCCCGCTGCGGCCAGCCTCATCACACCCGCAGTGTCTGGACTTCGCGCCGCCTTTTAAACCTCTTTGGCACTTGGAGTTCTGCACAGAGTACCAGGAGTTTGGCTGCTGCGACCAAAAGACCGATAATATGATCGCAGAGAGATACTGGGACATTATCGAGGTTTTGGAGATTCAGGGGCTGGACCTCTGCGCGGACAGTTTGAAAGAAATGATGTGCCAGGTGAGTCACTGCTGTAAAGTAGGATTTTGAGCGATGTTGTTGTATTTCCATGTAACTACAAAGCACATTTCTGTAAATCTTAAGTGCACATGTACAGATGATTGATGGCCTAAGATAACAACTGTGTATGATTCATCACTTATAGATGAGCTCTAAAACATGTCCTCGCATGGAAAAAAGTTCTGGTTTGGGTAATGCTCAATGCATGATTACTAGAAATAACTGAGATGCCAATACTGACTGTCCAATCTGACATTCTGCAATTGTATCACGAGGCAAAACTGTTTACCCACTTTGGAGGTGGTGGTGGGGCTCGATTGGCACAGAATGGCTGTACCCTCTGGCACCACTGATTGACACGTGAATGAATAATGTACACCACATACTGAAGTGGTGTGTCCCCCCTCTCTAGGAAAGCACCTCTATAAAGTTGTTACAATACATATTTGAAACAGTATTCAATATATTAAAGGTGCACCGTGAAACAGCAACACATTTCTAATAGAAGATATGTCATGCTTGTTATCACAGTTGTTGCTTTTTATGGCTAAAGATAAACCATAAATGCATGGCACTATGAGCAGAGTTGCCTTTCCACTGATCTGACTTGTAAGTTAGTGTCAGCAGCTTGTCTTAATTGAGAGTAATAAAGGTGTTGCCACATACAGTGGAACGTTCGAGGTAAAGACGTAACATCTCCAAAGGAAGAAACAGATAGAGCTCTACCAGAAATTTCACACAGTGAGCATTTATCTATCCTGGGTAGGTCAACACTGAAAAAACTGATTAGGATACTACTGTGGAAAAAAGCAGGTTACCCAGATTATCTATCATTAACAAATATCTTTGGTCTCATCCAGGAGTGCTCACCGTATGCTGCACATCTGTTTGACGCTGAAGACCCCTACACTCCAGTCAGAGAGCTCCCAGGGCTTTGTTTCAGCTACTGCCAGGATTTTCACAGAAAATGCAAACACGTTATCAAATATCTCACCCAAAACCATCTCCTCCAAGACACCAGCCAACGGGACATGGCCACATTCTGCACCATGATGGACCTTTCTGATCAAGACTACTGCTACCCCAATGTCCTCAACAGCCCTGGACTTAATAGTAATCTGGGGCAAGTGGTAGAGGATCCTCAGGGGTGTCTACAATTGTGCCTGACTGAAGTGGCAAATAATTTAAGAAACCCAGTGTTGATGCTGCACAGTGGAGATGAAACCCATAGAATGTTCATAGCAGAGCAAGTTGGATTTGTTTGGGTCTTCTTACATGATGGTAGCAGGTTAGAGCAGCCCTTTCTGGACATGAGTGGTGATGTGATGACCACTCCATGGTTAGGGGATGAGAGGGGGTTTTTGGGCATGGCGTTCCATCCAAATTACAAGCACAATGGACGGTTCTTTATCTATTATTCAATTCAAGTGGACAGCAAACTGGAGAAGATCAGAATAAGCGAAATGAAAGTGTCTGACTATGACATGAATGTTGCCAATCCATACTCTGAAAGGTATGTCTATAATGCAAAGCAACCAGACTTATAGTATTATTATAGTATATTTATTATGAGTTTTGTGCATTAAAATGAGGTTATTTTCATCTTATATTAGAAAGAAATGGGCAAGAAATGTTAGAAAGACAAATAGTCTACAGCATCTCCCAAACTTGTGGGCTGTCCATGGTCTACCAATAATTTAGTTTAGTTTATTTATTTAATAAGAGAAGGGACAGTGCAATATATACATTAACTTTAACAGAAGAGATGTATTGTACCAGGTTGTAGCACTAGTGCTAATTTCCACCTGTAGTCCCTGGGAAGGCTGATGTTGCTAAATTTTAAAATACAATACGTTTTACACTAAGGAAAAGGCTTGATATCCAATACTGATTTCAATATCACAATGATATTAACACTCTAATAGTAATAACATAACAACTGAAATACCTTTTTCAATACATGAAAGCTAGTTTGTGAAGTATTACCATGGAATATTATAGAAGTTCTGATATAGATCAAGACAATGTCATATTTATGGATTTTCTTCCCAGCAGTAATTTTCAATGCAACCGACAAAAGCTGCTTATTCACATAAAAAGCTGCACAGTTCAAATAACACAACATATAATTTTAAAATGTACAGCTTTGGAAAGTGCATATTTGACAGGTGAGATGGCCATCGTGTTTAGCTTGACGTAAAACTTCCTGTTCAATGCCTCTCAGTTTCCTTGTTGTTGATGTAAATATTCTGCAGCTGACTCTTTGAAAGTTGGTCTGACGATGGAGGCTGTAATTGCCCTCATGGCTTGCACGAACATGCTCTGAGCTTTATATAGTTTGTATATCATTATCGGGTCGGCCTAACACTTTTCAAGAGCTCCAGAGAAGTTTGAATTAATTTATGACTAAGCAAAATGCCTTGAAGACATCCAAGACAATATCCCATATATTAGTATATAATAATGCTTTGGAGCATGTAACACTCAAATTTATCAATGTATAGTTATTATCTTCTGTCATCAAAGGCATACTATATAATAATTACATCATAATACTTTCTAGGAGCCAATTCCCCCAGGCTTATGCAGCCATCACCATAATGTAGTTGAAAGAATGTAAATGTAAGTTGCCTGGAAGAGCAAAGGTATTGGTTCAGTGTGCTACGATAACATATTTCATTTAATTGGGTCATATTTATTGGTACACACCATGCATAACTTTAAAACAATAAAACATCTATTGAATTTTCACAGTATAATAAACACAACTAGCCCATTATGAAAGTCTTGTTAAACTGACTAAATATATTTTCTATGTAATAGAGAGAGCGAGAGAGAGTTTAAAAGGATCAAGTAGGGTCTGCAGATTCTGTATCAGGGTGGTTTGAGGAGAGGAAGAGACAAAAGTGTCCCTCTTCTGTGTCCTACAGCCCAGGCATCACAACAGTGTGGAAAGTCTGGGAGTCTTTCCTCCGTAAGGTGTTCACCAAGCCTCTTGCACAGTCTCTAATTATTTACTACTTCTTTTCTACAAATTTTGGCCCAAGTCAGAGAGAGGGCACTTTATTAACACTTTGCAACTACAAGCAGTCTTCTGTTGTAAAAACTTGAATTTTTGATAAATTAATGCTAGATAGAGGCTAAATTTTCTGAATGCTGCTTCACTCTTCACTCCCATTTCACTCTTCCATCTCTCCTCTCCAATAGCAGCCAACATATGAAAACATGCT